CCTGCCAGTCCGTCTTGTCCGGTCCCGGTCTAGCTGGTTCGGTGCGACTACCTCCCAGTCCCGGTTCCCTCTCTCCCCGCTAGGAGCTCCCTTTTAAAGCCGGCGCCCCTTTCACGGGACGCCGGCACATGCGCTCGATGGTTCTTCTGCCCCTCCTCTGGCGCGCCCACCGGGGAGCCTCCCGCGCCTGCGCAGGCTGAACAGGCTGTCCGTCTTGTCCGGTCCCGGTCTAGCTGGTTCGGTGCGACTACCTCCCAGTCCCGGTTCCCTCTCTCCCCGCTAGGAGCTCCCTTTTAAAGCCGGCGCCCCTTTCACGGGACGCCGGCACATGCGCTCGATGGTTCTTCTGCCCCTCCTCTGGCGCGCCCACCGGGGAGCCTCCCGCGCCTGCGCAGGCTGAACAGGCTCGGCACCCGTCACACAGACTAACTTGGCTACCCCTCTGAAGCTTTCAAATATGTTTTGTTTTTCTTCATTTAAATCATTGTCCCGGGATGGGGCTGGAAATGAAGGGTTCAGGATGCAGGCTGCCCAGGGAGAGAGGACAGCTCAGGCCCTCTCTCACCAAAGCAGTTTGGGGGCCACGTGAGAAGCACCTGTCCATGGATGTTGCAACTGCAGCGGGCACAGTGGGAAGAGGGGTGCATGTCCCATGGCTAGAGACAGACAGACATACAAACAGACACTCTCTCTAATATATTGTAGATAGTTGTCCCTTTCTCCACCCCTGCTGGCCCAATGGAATTATGGATGCCCTGCTCCCCATCTCTGGCCTCTTGCTGCCCCCCTGTGGTCATTCTAAGGTATAACTCCCTCCTGCCAGACCTCTTCCTTTCCATTTTATGAGAAACACATCCCATTATTCTGGCACAACCAAATCCTGACCTTGCTTTAAATGATTGTAAAATCTGCATACCAAATGTGGTGTTCCTAGCTCTGTTCATTTAGGAAGATTTCTTTAACAAATGGACTCAGAGATGGAGAGACAGACAGACAGATAGATGCACATTTATAAAATATATAATAAGATGAATTGCTTGTGAATAGACTAGTTGTAGAGAATATTTGGTGACTAAATTTAAATAATTTTTTAATGTAAGCCGCTTTTGGATAATTCATAATAAAAAGAGTTTAAATTCAGCTAATAATTTTATTCATTATGAACTAGTTGCTCAACTCAGTTGTTGACTGAAAGATGTATTCTTTTAATAGATTTTTAATCAGCAGCCCCTTAGATCTCTGGTGACTTACTACAAGCACCCGTATGTGTACTATTAGAAATTCAGCTCGAAATATATGCAGTACTAGAGAGCTCCAGAGATGGTTAATAAGATGGTTAATAAGATTACATAGCTTTTCATTTTATGGGCAATGGTTTGAGTCCAACCCTACTTGGTAGAGAGCTATTACACTCAGATTTCTTCTCTCTTTATTTAATTTACCAGTAAGATCCCCTTATTTAGAGCATACTAAATAAGTATGAAAGCAAAGTCTAGGCCACGGAGGATAATATGATGTTTTCCCCAAACAATACCACTGTAGGGCTGGCAAGGGCCGATGTTCAACTTGTAGATATTAAATATCTTCTGGTGACTTTGTCTTCTAGAATGATTGAAGATTGTGGGAAAAGAGGAAATACCATGGCAGAAAGAAGGCAGCTGTTTGCAGAAATGCGTAAGTACTGTGTTTTTTGAGAAATTACTGCTTTATTGCAAAAATGAATCATATACAACATAACATCAGTAAACCTTACTTAATATACTTACTTAAAATAGCTATCCCAAGTGATCAACATCTCATTTTTAAAAATGTGTTTTTACTTTGAGTAAGAAAATGCAGGAGGGTGAATTTAATTACCCCAGTACTGCAGAATAGATCTTTTTCATCCCTGATTTCTGTGATCTTCAAAGCCAGGTTGTTACTTTACCTCTGTTTCAATAATAGCTGATTCATCCAAAAAAGTTAAAATACCAACAGTTCTACAAATATAACACATGGGAGAAGAAAACAATAATCCTCAAAACATTAGTTTTCTAAGGAACAGTTTCAAATCCCAGATATCTCACTAGAGTGTATCCTTTTTATTTTATGATCTAGATGTGTCTTTGCTTTCCACAAATATTATATGAACAATATTTCCCCCAATTCCTAAAAACTCCCTGCTCCCCTTATCTCCCTTGTGAACAATCCATTGTTTCTTTTTTGGAGAGGTATATCCTTGTATAAAGTTTGGGATTTTCATGATTTTACTAAATTTACCTACAGTTTTGGCCAGAATGATCAGAAATATCCCTTAGCTGTGTTACAGACATACTGTAATTTATATCCATGAGCGGCCATACTTCCAAACTAATAAATGTTGACAGAACAATGGAACTTGGTGGGATGACTTGTATGACTGGAGCGCTGTCATGGAAGGGCACAGACCCGTGGTCCCCAACGCGGTGCCCGCTGGCGCCATGGCGCCCGCCGGGGCATTTATGTGCACCCGCCAAGTCTGCATTAGGCACACTCTAATGCAGGGGTGGACTGGCCCGGCGCGACAGAGCCACTGGGCTCCGCACTCCTGCACCGGAGCCAGTAGGGGCGCTGCTGGCACTTACAGCCCTGCCAGAAGACCCCACCGGGCTGAGGGACTCCGACAAGGAGGCTGGCAAGCTGACCCCGGCCGGGGAAGGTACCGGGCCGGGGGAAGGGAAAACGGGCATGGCTGAGAGAGGCGCGAACATGCACTGTCACCCGGGTGGAGCCATGGCTGCACCGGGGGCAAAGTCACTTGTGGCGCACCGTAGGGGGTGGTGCCATGTTGGTGTGGTGTTGCAGCGCCGTTTTTTAAAACGGCCAGCTGTGGCTCGGGGAAGGAGGAGGAAGGAGATGTGCCGAGTGAGGCATGGGGGAGCAGAGCCTGGCTAGAGGCGGGACGGCGGTGAGCGCACCTGGCAGGGCGGTAGTGCTGTGATGGGTGGAGGAGATACAAATGCCGGAGGAGGGAGGCAAGTGGAGACAATGAGAAAAAGGGCAGGAGGGGAGGTGTCAGTGGGAGCCCAGGCTTCAGGGACTTCTGGGGCTTGACTGCAGCAGACTCCAGACCTGCAAACTGGAAGGTAGAAGGGAGGGGAGGGGAAGAATAGGGGGAAAGGGTGAGAGAGGAAGGGGCTTGTGCTGATGGGAGGGGGGTCAGGTCAGGAGAAGAAAGGGGAAGGCACCAAGGGACAGGGTGGAGGAGATACAAATGCCTGGGGAGGGAGGCAAGTAGAGACAATGAGAAAAAGGGCAGGAGCGGAGGTGTCAGTGGGAGAGGGGACAGAGTGATGCTGGGAGATGAGAGGATAAGGGCATTGGGGCTAGAGTGGGGAGGTGCTGGGAGAAGGCTTGAAAGAAGGGATGGGCATGAGGAAGGCAAGGATGGAGCAAGTCATGTGTGAGGGGACAGGGGCATGAGGGGACCGGGGGGCAGAGGGTGGTGAGGGGGTGGGCATCAGGGAAAAAGAGGGCAAAGGAGTCAGGGCAGGGAGG